CTTAGCCAAGCATAACAAATACCAATTGGAAACCACCTCAAAGCTCTGATCAGCTGACTCGTACTCTGATCTAAAGTAGCAAATACTGGTGGTTACCCATGCGTTAGGGGCCCCTACAGTACTCAGAGAACAACATGGTGTAGCCGCAGAATAAGAAATAACACCAATTTTATACATAGCTCACCTGACAACATACAAAATCCTAGTGCTTAGAAACTGTGGCCAAAAGCTTCCATAGCCTCCCACGCCATACTTCTGTCTGAGAAAGTCTATACAGGTATGGAGGATGCCAAGGGATACTTTGGTGGTTCGCCGCCAATTGCATCCCCGAGCATTTTGATGCATGCGGGGGTCAATTTCGCAACCCCCTCATCTAACATTAGGCCAGGACTGATCATGACCAGGTTTTGAGATACTAAAGAAGATTTGCGCGAAGGGTAAAATTCCAACTACATTTTCGCTTGGTTACACATAAATTCTACGAGGATGCCCGACTGAAATCACAATCCAACTCATGTCAGCACAGTTTTCGCGGGTCGGATTTGATCCATCCATCAAGCATAGAGAAGGCGGATCATCGGGGCGAAAATTGACAAGCCAAAAAACCAATTTATTCGATGAAGATCTACGAGTTTTAAAACGTGCTGAGCCCATTTTTCCAAGTTGAAAAAAAATCCCCGGCAACCACATAAAAACAAATAGACCCTAAACGATGGTTTTGATCCGTCCCCTTCAGATCGTATAACAAAGATAACTACGATCTCGAGAGACTTAACCAAGTCTCAATCCTACTTTTCCAACATAATTGCGGTACAAGTAGTTATTCTTACCTGTCCAATGAAGCTAATAAGAGTCTGGGGGAGTTAGGTGGTTGGAAAAAGACGTGGTCACAAAAAATTAGAACTTCAACAAAGAAAAGTGGGCAGAACAATAAGTGAGGGGTTCAAACACGTTCCTAATAGAATCCCCGTCTCACGCCGACAAAAGATCTCCTGGGACCCCAGGCTCCCCCTAAAGATCAAATAAAGAAGCTAGTAAGAACAGCTTACACACTAAACAAGGTACGTAAGCAACTGCCTCAACTTAAGAAAAGATTTTGAGACTTTTGAAGCCGCAATTGCGCCAGCATAGTCTCACCTTCACTCAGTTCAAAAGTATAACAATATGCTGCAACTGACACTCGCATTGCAATTACAGTCGTGGCGAACTAAAATAACCGATAATTATCGATTTTCAAAGGGTCAGAAATGTAAATAGGTAAAGACTTTTGAGTACCTGATCAAATAGCTCATCGGCCAACAAAACTCCAGCAAGTCCGTGGCCCCGTCGCTGTCGGGACTCGCGGGCACACTTAATTTGAGACAACGGATACGCAGCTGCTCGAGGGAGGAAAAACATAAAACCAGAGAGTCACGTGGGTAGGGTCCGATAACATTTGAGAGTTTTTTTACTGAAGCTCCGAGGAGAATGTGATCTTGTCTTTGCTGAGAAGGCAATGGGGAAAATGGGTAGCAGAAGATATGGAAGCTAAAACAGAATAAAAGTCCAAAAAGTCCTCCTGCCTGTGTTGAATTCTGAATATTATTATAGCATCGCAAGCACTGGCTGAATTCATACAGGGAGCTTTCACTTTCATTCATTGGCTCTAACCAATAAAGGAAGCCTGCGGTAGCCGGTCAATGTAAAATCAATGGGACCCAGGCCTAGTTTTTGGATGGCCAAGTGTACGGCTCGTATGAAAATAGAAATGTATTCCATTGGATACCATGAGTAAGACTTCCTGTTTCAGTCCAAACTAAATTGGCCATTGATAACAGTTACAGTCACAGGATTGCTGTACAGCGATAAATTACACAAGATACTAAAACTTGTTACAAGATACTGTACAGGCAAGAAATGCAAATAAACTGACAGAAGTAAATGAAGTTAGGAATTAGATTGGACTCGACAACGATATAAAAGGGATTTGGCCAACACCCACCAAAAAAAAGAAAAACTTCTCATAATTTAGTCTCACTAGTTTTTCATGAAGGTTCAAAACGGTACCACACATTGGTCCAACAATTGCTCTTTGATACTGAAACAAACACACTACTGAAGAAACTTGTTATCAAATACAGAATTCGGAAAGGCGTATGCTAAAAAAGAAGTCATGGAAGTAAATGAGGTTTGGGATGAGATTTGACTAGACCAAAATATATAAAGGATTTGGACCACAAAAAAAGTCCTAATAAAGTTGAATTTAGTCTAGTTAGTGTTCTTGATTAAGGCCAGCCGGTTTCTTTTTTTTTTTTGCCGTGAGTGGGCTGTTTTGGGCTCGTGGGAAGCGGTTGGCGCCTGCGCTGGGCGGGGGGGGGGGGGGTTTGCGTGCTAGAGGCAAAGTTCCAACACTACTCCGTGATTCTAAGGACATGTTGTCCCTTTCAGTGACCATCTAACTACCCAATGGCATGCCTTAAAGACTGCTTTCCAGAGGGTATGATCTTCTCCCATGTGGGATGCAAACAAATAAATGGATGAAAAGAAATGGATCGCAATGAAAGAGGAGACATTTGAAATCAAAAGACTGCATTCAGATGGAGAAAGAAAGAGCGAGAGATGGTGGGAGTAGGTGGACGCCAGATAGGAGTTGAAGGTAGGATTACAATAAATCATGGCAAGGACAGTAGTAAGATTAGAGACATGTAGGGCTAGCCTCATGAAAGGTATCTGCATTTAGGAGCTGCTAACTGCACGAGTGTTCGATCGCTTTCAGATTTGAGGTAATCATGTGGAAACAGCTGATGTTAGGGGAAAAAAAGACAAGATGTTGACATCTAGGGATTAGTAATGACACCTTAATGACTGTAACAAAGAATAAATCATAGTAATTCAAGATATGATACTCTAAAACATACAGGCTGATGTCATTGAAGTACTTAGTCCCCAAAAGGCACACAAATTAGAATTTGATCCAAACGCCGCAAGAATGAACATGAGCAATGAGAAGAAAATGGTCACAGAAATTAAGCTGGAACTCATACCCACTGCATGTTTCCAGTGGCACCTTTTTTCCACCTAAAACCGTGTACGACCTGTGCTCAGCCAGATCACTAATGGCACAGAAATTTTATTGATATTCCACATATATGCACATATAGATGTGACCACACACGCACATGATAACCACCAACAATCTAAGAAGCAGAAAAGTTGAATATAAAAGAAATGAGTTGAATTAAAGGGCACTGACATATAGTGATCTTTTGATATCAAAATAGTAAAAGCAAGTGACGTAGAATTAAAGCAGTAGAAGCTAATATTTTCACTAAGCAGTACATGTTAACACACTTAGTGACAAATGGAACACAGATCACTCGGAAAAACATAATGTAGAAGTTCACCCAAAAAAAGTAAGAAGTGATATGAATGGAACTGAAGATTCTATCCTTTCCTGCTTCCCCCTGTTTGCCCCGGTCTTTGCTTCCATCCTTTTTCCCTCCCTCAGCACACATGCATGCACATGACACACAATGGACACACAAGCGCGCACACACACGCTCGCGCACACACAGAGACAATATCACTTTCAGTGGAAACATCTGCCGTTAGCGATAGAAAGACAAGATGTTGATCTTGATGGGTTTAGAAATGACACCCTAATTTTCCTTAAGAATATTACTTTGACAAAGAATATGTCATAGCATTTCAGATATGGTACTCGCTAAAACATACAGGCTATTTAGTCCCGAACCACCAACAAATTAAGAAGAAAAAAAGTTGAATATGAAAGAATTGAGTTAAAAGGGCAAGGAATTATTATTTTACATAAATGCAGTCAGTGATCTTTTGGTATCAGAATGGCAATAATAAGTGATACGGAGTTAAAGAAGCGGGAGCAGCAAATGCTTTTTCTAAGCGGTAAATGTCAACAACGCCTAGCGACGAATTTAAAACAGGAGTTTACTTGGAAAAACATCAAATAATAGTTTACCCAAAAAGTTAAAATTTTGAAGGAAATAAAGATCCTATCCTTTCAAGTACACATGAATGCACGTGCACACAGACTCGTATCACGCACGCCTACACGTGCTCGCTCACTCACGCCCTCGCGCGCACACATATATCAATTATGTATATGTATGTATGCATGCATGCACATACATATATAAATCTACATAATATGTATGTGTATGTATATCTATGTGTGCGCGTCTGTGCATGTGCACATGCGCTTTGTGCCTGCGTGAGTGTGTTGGGCATGTGTGAGGTGATGCAAATTTTTAGAGAGCATAAAATACATTATGTATTACTTTAGACCAATATCAGACCCACTCCCCTTGAAAATCAAGAAATCAGACAAGGATATTTAAATTTCTTGAACAAACCATAGGAGTAATTTGTTTTACGGTACCATTTCCATTGAATGCAGAAGGAGACTATTTTTAAACAATCCAATTTAAGTATTTAATTATCAAAATAGACCTAATTTATATTTATTTATCATTTTCGACCTATTTCCGCCACATCAGCATGAAACCGGTCAATTATGAAATCTCATTTTTTGTTAATTAACCGAGATTTGGGAATCCCAGGTAATTAGTAGTTTAATTAAAGTAAAGAACAAGGTTGCCATCCTTGCGCTTCTACATGTAGAAACAACCCTTGATTTTGTTCGTAACAAATGTTCTATAGCCTTTCCATTTATGCCTCAAACAACTAATTAAATCCTTTTAATTAACTTGCTAATTACCCATGATTGCCAATCCCGGATAATTAAAAGATTTCAAAACCAACCAGTTTCTTGCTGATGTAGCGGAAATAGGTTAAAAATGATAAATAAATATAGACCAGGTCTATTTTAAAAATTAAATACTAAAATTGGATCACTTATAAAATTTGTCCATAGAAGAAACTCACTGACCACATGCCCCCGTTCTAAGATGCGGATGATGGAAGAAATTTATGAATGAGAATTTCTGTGTTAAGTGGCTCCTATGCATAGAAGGTGTTTGGGGGAGCTTATTTTCTAAGTCAAACTAGCTTTTTTATACCCATCTCTTCTGTAGGTCAACAATAAGCTGGTTTATAAGTCCCATTAAAAAAAGTCGGGACTTCCAACTTTTGATAAAATAGATTATAAAGCTCAAAATAAGCTTAGTTTGACTGAGTAAATGACCATTCTATCCATACACCTTTTATAAGTTTTTATCATAAAAGCCAAAAGCCATCAAAAGCTAGCATGACATATAAGATCCTTAAAATAAACCCTCCCAACCACCCTCATAGCCTTGATCCTGAAATTATTTGCCCTTCTGCATCAATAGCCTTGCTCCTTGCATTTCTTGCCTTATTATATAACATAATCCAAATAACACAAGCCACATATCTGACACTCCAGAGACGCTATAATGCAGACAATATCAAATTATGGTGTGAAGGGAAGAGCTGGAAGCTACAATTTCAATTGGCTTTAGGATAGAATATTAAAGATGAGAGAATTCTAAAGGGATTCACACCATGAATTTGTGAATATTATACCAGATCATAGACCATCAAAAAGTGAGCAAAGAAGAAACAATTCTTCTTGGGTGGGTGGGGGTGGGGGGGGGGCATTTCCTTACAAGAGATGAAGGAAGTTCCTTTCAAGAAGAATAAAGTTTTCTACTATAACTATAATTGTAAAAACGACTTTCATTTAAGGGGTAATGCTACTATAATTTCCAGATAAAAGAAACTTGTAAGTACTCTAAAAGGGTATTGCTGTTTACAGATATGGCCACAAAAAACCAGATAAACTAAAATCCTAAGAAAATATAAGGCCTACCCTGATGACAATTCTAAAATACAGATGTTTTGGAACCATGAAATAGCATACAACAGTCAGGGGATTACTCTACATCACAACAGCCATATGAGCTCACACCTACACTAGAAAATCCACATGCATCTCCAAGAAGACAACAATTTACATGTCTATTGATCAATACACACGTGCATCACCCAAGTGTTAGTTGTTACAGGTTCCAAATAATTGCAAGTTACCAAACCCTTGAAGACCACCTAACATAAAAGGATATCCAGAAAGAACCCTAACACAAAAGGATGTTAAGGTCCAAAAAATTATAAATCACCAGTAGAATAACCTTAAATTCAAAATAAACTACAGTGACCTGATCATTTTTAGTACGCTAGTGGGAATCAAATGATAAGTTAGATATCCTATGATCAGTCATACCCATATAACTCTAGTATGTTGTACTGTTTTTCAGTACCAGCCATCGAGATTTTCTAAGACGAGACGATTTAGCAATTCATTCAATCTATCTTCATTAAAGCATGGTTAAGATGATTTATGAAGGAACCAGTAACAAAGTTTAATGGAGGAAACATGGTCTACAACTATGACCTGTCAATCTTCGTATCATTAATTGATACTGCCAAAATTTGTTTTTAGTCTAATAGGCAAGTCATAGACCATGACCAGTAGCATCCAGGATACTGGTTTTGAGGCATCAGCTATCCCAATTAATTATTAAAAAAAAGAAACTATCAAAGAATCAGAAGGTTAGTATTAGAAATTGAATGAAAACTACTTTCATGTTTCCGAGTAATTACAAAAGCTTCTTTGCCATAATCTATAACCAAGATTTTCATATTTTACTGATCACGGCATTTCTCTTAAAGAAATAAAAGTAAACTAGAATTTACGCATCAAAATCTGACATAGCCTAAAAGCATGTACCGAGAAAAGATAACATTTAGTTCCACTTACTTTTAGGAAGTACAAAATCTGATTGTATCTTTAAGTGCTTGAATAAAGCAATCCACCTCTTCTTTGGTGTTGTAGAAGCGAAGGCTTGCTCGAACACTCACATCAATACCTAAGTAACGATGTAGGGGCTGAGCACAGTGATGACCAGAGCCAACTGCCACGTGATGCTAAAGAAAGATCAACCGCAATAAGAAAAGCATCAGATATGTTATATATAAAGCATAAGGAAAACAGCTGAACATACATATTCGATTATTTAATCCAAAATAACAAAAAAATATCATTGTCCTTCACATGCAACAAGAGAAATAAATCCTAAGCAACATTAAAGCCTTATTACATACCCATGCTAATGACTGGATCTACGTCACCTACCATAATGTTTTTTTTATCATCTTAATCTCTTCAGGTCATGTATCTATCAAACATATGTTCATGGTTCATTCATCAAACAAGCTAACTGTACACTTATGTACCACATGTTTGTGATCACAAGTTCTAAGATTAAGAACACATAAATTAGTTGCTGAGAGCATGCAGATGTATTCAAAAGACTTCACAATCTCATCAGGACATCCAGTGCAAACATCCTTAAGGAGCAGCAGATAAGTTCCTACACAAAGCCTGAACCCCTTACATCATATCCTCATGGCTTTAAATATTGGATATCAGGGAAATATCAGAAGGCTAAAATCCATATTGGATTGCATATACTAGGGATATGTAGTAAACATCATAGTTCCATATTGGATGATGTGCATATATGATATAATGTCCTAAAATATAATATAAACATACTTAATGAAATCAAAGCATACTCAATTGAACCATAAACCTAAACCATTCTTTTAAAACAAATAAATTTCAAATCAACATTGCAACATTTTAGCCAGTTTGTTTGATGCCAAAATGTCACCTGATATATTGGGAATATGATGATATATCGCCCAAAAGTTGCCAAAAGCGGTATATTGTTTTGTGACAAGCCATATAAAAGAACATATCGGCCAACATATTGGATGTATAAGTGAGATACACAAAATTGAAGAATCAACCTAGCTGATACTGTCAATGAGTGGCACAGAAATGTAAAAAAAAAAAAGAAATCAGTGCATTTAAATTTGATATTACCTGTTCATTAAGGTAAGCTGCAATAGCTTTAGAAGGTATATTCTCAACATTAAATGAGCACAGTGCAGTGCGATGAACAGCTTGTGAGGGAGTGGGGCCATATATGTGCACATTCGGAATATCAAGGAGGCTATGGTAGAGATAGGCTGCCATTGCTTTCTGGAAAAAAGAGGAGAAAATAAAAGCAACAATAAGGAACTCATATATTTGCAAAAAGAATTATTTAATCAAAACAATAGCTACCAGCAACAAATTCTTTCATTCAAGAACATGTAACACACAATATGATGCAAGATTTTCCCTACTAAAGCAACAGAAAGCAAAAAATCTGGCAGCAGTATGCAACTTAGCTATCCAATAGTGAAATACAAGGAAACAAATTATTTAGCAGCGAACCACTTTAAAAAGTATAACTGCATACAGGCAAAGAGGAAATGCTTAGTAATTGAAGATTACTGCGCTACTATGCTTCATCAAAATTATGGATTAATATTCTCCAACGCTTGTTTCTTGGCTGAGAAAACCACAAGCTACAACTTAAACAAAAAGGATAAGATAAACAAGCCAACACACCTCATAATCATGGATCTTCTGCATACCAATGGTCGACAGATAATCAATTGCTGCGCCCAACCCTATAGCTTCTGCAATTGCAGGAGTTCCTGCCTCAAATCTGTTGAGAGCAAAAAAGAAAAAAGTGATTCCAGATCAATATCAGAATTTTATCAAAATGGCAACGTGTAATTGAGTCCGGAAAACATTAGGAATATGTAAAGGCACAACTTGTTGAGATATTTTCATGAAAAACCCAAGGCAAGCAGAAAATGCAACTAGGTTCGTATGTACTTGAGATCTAATAGTGATGTTTATTATCTATTTATCTTATTCCCATATAGCAAGCATCAAAGAAACCTAATGGACACTGCAGGTTGCCTTACAAGTAAAAAAAATTTAAAAGTGTTGGGGAAATTACCCACGAAACCAGAGAATAGAACAATCACAAACACAATATTTACGTGGTTCGATCAAATTGATCTACGTCCACGGCAAGAGGGTGTATCACTATATTTCTTTCTCAACATACAACACTCATACAAAATATTGAGAGCTCACAGATTTCTTGTGTGGCTTTCACTCTGTCTCTCAAGCTCTGTTCGATGATGGTTTTGATATCAGAGAGGATTAAGGGATTTATAGGATTCATAAGACCACCAATCACGCCTCATGTTTGTTGACGAACAAAAGGAAAAACAAAACCGGCCTCTTTATTTGACAAACAACGACAGGCCACCGTAATTGCGGCTCTAGCTCCCCCTCTCTCTTGATGTCAACAACGGAGGCTGTTGTTGCGGCTCTAGCTCCTCCTTTCTCTTGATGTCAACAACGGAGGCCACCGAAAGTTTGTTGGCCTCAATTGTTGACTAACAATCTCGCCTCTTTTACCGCTTCTGCTGCTGCCATGTATTCTGCCTCTGTAGTAGACAAAGCAACTGTCGACTGTAGAGTTGATCTCCAACTAATAGCTGAGCCAGAAAGAGTAAAAAGATAACCAGTCAAAGATCTCCTTTTATCGAGATCACCTGCATAGTCAGAATCCACAAAACCTACAACTGAGGTTCCCAAAGTACTGCTATCAAAAACTAAACCCAAATCTGAGGTACCCCTGAGATACCGAAGGATCCACTTTACTGCTTCCCAGTGTGCCTTCCCTGGTTGAGCCATGTATCTGCTCACTACACTGACTGCCTGGGCAATGTCTGGACGAGTGCAAATCATAGCATACATTATGCTACCCACTGCATTGGAGTATGGAACTCGGGACATCTCCTTCTTCTCGTTCTCACTTGTAGGTGAATCTGAAGCCGAGAGCCTAAAGTGAGGAGCCAAAGGAGTCGTAACGGGCTTGGCCTTCTTCATCCCAAAGCGTTCAAGTACCTTTTCAATATAGCTCTTCTGTGAGAGATATAATGTTCCAGCTTTCCTGTCCCTCCTGATCTCCATACCTAAGATCTTCTTTGCTGCACCAAGATCTTTCATCTCAAACTCATCACTGAGTTGTTTCTTCAAAATAAGAATCTGCGACATGTTCTTAGCAGCAATAAGCATGTCATCGACATATAATAGAAGATAAATAAAAGAATCATCTCCTAGATGCATGTAGTACACACAACTATCATAAGTACTTCTTGAGTACCCATGACTAAGCATAAAATTATCAAACCTCTTGTACCACTGTCTGGGAGATTGCTTCAGGCCGTACAAAGATTTCTTCAATCTGCAAACTTGATCTTCTTTACCTTCTACGAAGTATCCCTCTGGCTGAGACATGTAGATAGTCTCCTCAAGTTCGCCATGTAAAAATGCAGTCTTCACATCAAGCTGCTCAAGCTCCAGATCAAATAGAGCAACCATGGCAAGCAATACACGGATGGAGGTATGCTTTACAACCGGAGAGAACACTTCATCATAGTCAATTCCCTCCTTTTGTCTATAACCCTTAGCCACCAACCGTGCTTTGAATCTAGCATCTTCAACCCCTGGGATCCCTTCTTTCTTCTTGAAAATCCACTTGCATCCAATTGCCCTTTTACCCTTAGGTAATTGCACCAAATCCCAAGTCTGATTCTTGTAGAGTGACTCGAGTTCTTCTGTCATAGCTGTGGCCCAACGTCCAGATTCTCCGCATGAGATAGCTTCAGTAAAGTTTGATGGCTCTTGAATACTCATCTCTTCAGCTGTCGTGAGAGCATACGTCACTAATTCAGCATGTGCATATCTTTGAGGAGGTTTGATCTGTCTCCTCTCTCTGCCAGTGGCTATGGAATAAGGTTCTTCAGTCTCAGCATCATCAGCATCTGAGCCTGAATCATGTTGCTCTTCTACAGCTGTAGGAGCAAATTTTATAGACGATTTTTGAGACGTCTTTCCCTCGAGCTCCACCTGAAGCTCCACCTTATCCATGGTCTTCTCTACATTTCCTGTAGACTCAACAGAAACCTTCCCATGATCAAGCATATATCTTTCATTAAAAGTAACATCTCTACTAATAATGAATTTAGGTGAATCACCCTCTTGCCGTGGACGTAGATCAATTTGACCGAACCACGTAAATATTGTGTTTGTGATTGTTCTATTCTCTGGTTTCGTGGGTAATTTCCCCAACAAACTGGTATCAGAGCGGATTAAGGGATTTATAGGATTCATAAGACCACCAATCACGCCTCATGTTTGTTGACGAACAAAAGGAAGGGGTGTATCACTATATTTCTTTCTCAACATACAACACTCATACAAAATATTGAGAGCTCACAGATTTCTTGTGTGGCTTTCACTCTGTCTCTCAAGCTCTGTTCGATGATGGTTTTGATATCAGAGAGGATTAAGGGATTTATAGGATTCATAAGACCACCAATCACGCCTCATGTTTGTTGACGAACAAAAGGAAAAACAAAACCGGCCTCTTTATTTGACAAACAACGACAGGCCACCGTAATTGCGGCTCTAGCTCCCCCTCTCTCTTGATGTCAACAACGGAGGCTGTTGTTGCGGCTCTAGCTCCTCCTTTCTCTTGATGTCAACAACGGAGGCCACCGAAAGTTTGTTGGCCTCAATTGTTGACTAACAATCTCCACCTTGGTGAAGTTTTCCAAAAAACTGAGCCGACACCAATAACTAGTGAGTCTTCACCCATCTTGCAAACAATGCCCCAAAAAGAGCCACTTAACAAGTGCGAATGCCTCCCAAATTCAAGCAGTGCTTGAACTTGAAGGCCGGGATCGGTTTGGTCAACATGTCAGCTGGGTTGTCTGCAGTACCAATCTTCTTCATCGTGATGTTTCTTTCAGCAGTTGCCTCACGAATAAAATGATATCTGACATCAATATGCTTTGTCCTCTCATGATGTGCTGAGTTTTTGCTTAGATGTATTGCGCTCTGATTGTCGCAAAATACAACTGAAGTCCAAGCTCCCTCACGAGATTTCTCAACCAAATGGCCTCTTTTACCGCTTCTGCTGCTGCCATGTATTCTGCCTCTGTAGTAGACAAAGCAACTGTCGACTGTAGAGTTGATCTCCAACTAATAGCTGAGCCAGAAAGAGTAAAAAGATAACCAGTCAAAGATCTCCTTTTATCGAGATCACCTGCATAGTCAGAATCCACAAAACCTACAACTGAGGTTCCCAAAGTACTGCTATTAAAAACTAAACCCAAATCTGAGGTACCCCTGAGATACCGTAGGATCCACTTCACTGCTTCCCAGTGTGCCTTCCCTGGTTGAGCCATGTATCTGCTCACTACACTGACTGCCTGGGCAATGTCTGGACGAGTACAAATCATAGCATACATAATGCTACCCACTGCATTAGAGTATGGGACTCGGGACATCTCCTTCTTCTCGTTCTCACTTGTAGGTGAATCTGAAGCCGAGAGCCTAAAGTGAGGAGCCAAAGGAGTCGTAACGGGCTTGGCCTTCTTCATCCCAAAGCGTTCAAGTACCTTTTCAATATAGCTCTTCTGTGAGAGATATAATGTTCCAGCTTTCCTGTCCCTCCTGATCTCCATACCTAAGATCTTCTTTGCTGCACCAAGATCTTTCATCTCAAACTCATCACTGAGTTGTTTCTTCAAAATAAGAATCTGCGACATGTTCTTAGCAGCAATAAGCATGTCATCGACATATAATAGAAGATAAATAAAAGAATCATCTCCTAGATGCATGTAGTACACACAACTATCATAAGTACTTCTTGAGTACCCATGACTAAGCATAAAATTATCAAACCTCTTGTACCACTGTCTGGGAGATTGCTTCAGGCCGTACAAAGATTTCTTCAATCTGCAAACTTGATCTTCTTTACCTTCTACGAAGTATCCCTCTGGCTGAGACATGTAGATAGTCTCCTCAAGTTCGCCATGCAAGAATGCAGTCTTCACATCAAGCTGCTCAAGCTCCAGATCAAATAGAGCAACCATGACAAGCAATACACGGATGTAGGTATGTTTTACAACCGGAGAGAACACTTCATCATAGTCAATTCCCTCCTTTTGTCTATAACCCTTAGCCACCAACCGTGCTTTGAATCTAGCATCTTCAACCCCTGGGATCCCTTCTTTCTTCTTAAAAATCCACTTGCATCCAATTGCCCTTTTACCCTTAGGTAATTGCACCAAATCCCAAGTCTGATTCTTGTAGAGTGACTCGAGTTCTTCTGTCATAGCTGTGGCCCAACGTCCAGATTCTCCGCATGAGATAGCTTCAGTAAAGTTTGATGGCTCTTGAATACTCATCTCTTCAGCTGTCGTGAGAGCATACGTCACTAATTCAGCATGTGCATATCTTTGAGGAGGTAATACTCATCTCTTCAGCTGTCGTGAGAGCATACGTCACTAATTCAGCATGTGCATATCTTTGAGGAGGTTTGATCTGTCTCCTCTCTCTGCCAGTGGCTATGGAATAAGGTTCTTCAGTCTCAGCATCATCAGCATCTGAGCCTGAATCAAGTTGCTCTTCTACAGCTGTAGGAGAAAATTTTATAGACGACTTTTGAGACGTCTCTCCCTCGAGCTCCACCTGAAGCTCCACCTTATCCATGGTCTTCTCTACATTTCCTGTAGACTCAACAGAAACCTTCCCATGATCAAGCATATATCTTTCATTAAAAGTAACATCTCT